CTACGAGGGCTTGTAGTCGTTAAAGCATGAAATTTATACGCCAAACGTCAACTTCAAACGCCAAATCTTAATTTATTGCTTTGGTGAATGGCATGACTAGTGGTTAATTTGCTTTCTTAAATCATTGCTAAAGAGCACAAGTTTAATAAATTTAACATATTTCAAAACTGGTGTAAAAGCAATAATAATAGAGTTGTAAAATCAAAAACCTCGCTAGCGGTTTGACGTTTGCCGTAAACGTCAATCTTAAGGTGTTATTACCGCGGACTAACCTCGGTCAAGTTTAAATCACCGCAGTCAAACCGAGGTTCAACCGACGTTAAATCGCGGTTTTTGTTAGGTTCATGGAGAAAAAAGTGTATTTTCGACCGGCTACAGTTACATAGTTTTGACACGTTGTACACCGTTTGTAAGGTTCGTTACACATAACGATAAAACGAGCTACCATGTATATGAAACAGCGACCAATGCAACGTAGAGATATGTATGTTGGCGGATTTAATGGACCTATTCCATAATTAACAAAATTTTGATCTACACAAGTCTAGACAAAACCTAGACACCTTTCAACGTAAACTGCACATTTGTTATGGCAACTACAGTAATTCTATTTAATCTTCGATCATCATATACCATTATTTTATTGTAATTTCAGAATAATACAACCCTAGCGCATTAAATAGAAGGTTTTATTCTTCATTTTTCAGACCATGGTCGCCACAAAGCTGTAATGCCTGGGCGAGTTAAATGCTCGTCTCAGGCTGCAGCAATTCGCTGCACAGCAATAGCAAACAAAACAAAAGAGGAGAATTGAGTTTTCACCGTTTACCTAGGGATCAGCTCCTTATTGAAAAATATCAGACCATTTTAAAAACCACAGTTTCGAACATAAAAAACGCACGTACTTGTGTGGCCCATTTTGAAAACGGCAGACGGGAATTTGCTAGTGAACTTCCTCTGTGGCAACATCCTCAAAGAGGCGCAGTAAACCACACAAAATCGAAAAGAAAAGCCCCAACACCCAGGGGACCTGTTCCACAGCCTAAAGCCTAGAACAAAAACAAATTGAGGTCAACAGTTTCAAAGAGCAAGTTAGTAAATTGCAAGAAGTCCATGAAGAAGTAAAAGTTGTAGAAAAGAAATTGAAGAGTTGGAAAATCGACTAAAAGAAAGCAAATTCACTCATGAACGATTTGCGGGTGATGACAATAAGATGCTTTTCTACACTGGATTGACAAATGAGCAATTTAATACACTTTGCGCATTTCTGAAACCAGAACTATGCACCCCAAAGCGTGAAAATATAAGCAGGAAAGATGAACTTTTTGCGGTGTTTATAAAGTGCAGGCTTGCTTTACAATATGAAGATTTGGCAGATAGATTCGGAATTTCGAGACAGTCAGTTTCAAGAATTTTTGAAGGGTGGATAACATTCCTGAATAATTTGGTCAGCAAAATAAATTTATGGCCAAGCATTGATTATAATGATGAGTATATGCCAGAAAATTTTAAGCCTGATTATGCAACCACTAGAGTAGTGTTGGATTGCACTGAGCTTAAACTTCAAAGGGCCTCTAATTGTGATCTTCAATCTATGAACTTCAAAATAAATATTTCTACTCGCCGTATTCATACGAAACGTTCTACACGAACGCGCTTGAATACAAAGAATATTTTACACATATATCCTTTCAGAAAATGATGCCAAAGTTTAGAATATATTCAACTTTTTCTCTTTTTCTCGTTCGAATGTTTGGCGAAGCGGTGAGTATAAATATACTAGAAATACATGCATGCAGGAACCCCTCGCATGTATTTTCCAAACATTCATTTAACATGAAGTATTAGTATTTGATACGCGATACCTTCGCATTTATTTCACATGAGTTTTGTCTTACCAAGGCATGTGGTACAACACGATGACATCAACACGTCCAGACATGCGCAGAATGTAATGAAGCCGGAGTGTTCAAACGACCACAGGGGAAGAGAGATTCCAAGTTTCAGGAAGTAAGAACCCACTGAGAGATTGATCAATCCTACCACGAAACTTTGCCTGAAGTAGACGCGATCTCTTTATAAAGGAAGCTAGAGCTCTTATCCTTTGCTTCAAACTACCATCAAGGCTTGTGAGCAGAAAATGGTGACGATCTCAGCGACTTGTCAAATTATAGTCATGATGACAAAGACGGCGAAAATTCATAAAAAGTAGTGGTGAAAGAAGGCTGCATGCAAAAAGTGTCTTTCACGCGCATTTCGCGTGTTATCACACTATCACAGCATAAATTATGCTCCATAGCTTACGAGAATCTGTTTCTAGCTTACAAATACTTAGTAACATTAATCGTCACACAATGCTCATGCGAAAGGTCATTCTCGCAGTTGAAGCTAGTCAAGACAAGGCTAACATCGTCGCTAACGCAGGAAAACCTTGAATCCTTAATGATCATTGCCATTAAAAATGATCTTGCGCTGGAGCTGAAGAACAACAAAGAAAACATCATTGACAAGTTTGCAATGAGTTCAAGAAATCACAATTTATATTAGGTGCTTAATGTATAATTAAACATATTAAGGGACTTTATTTATGTTATAGACGTTCCACATGCTCGCATTACAATTTACATATTATTTTAAGCAAATAAAACAATATTTACAGTCGTGCCAATAGAAACGTTCCGAAAAATGTTAACCAAATCATTTCCTAACTTGAAAGAACACCTCTGAACAATTCCTCAACAATTTGATAAGTTCCTTAAAAAGTTCCTAACTTCCTGTTTCATTGACCAATCAGATTGCTCAAAAATATAATATAAAATTTGATTGGTCAATGAAACAGGAAGTTAGGAACTGTTTAAGGAACTTATCAAATTGTTGAGGAATTGTTCAGAGGTGTTCCTTCAAGTTAGGAAATGAATTGGTCAACATTTTTCGGAACGTTTCTATTGGCACGACTGTAAAAAACTATATATTTGTACACTCGTACATGGGCCCGGATTTTATTCCTAACCGAGGCCCGGTAAGTTGCCAGTCCGCCCCTGGTACAAGAGTTAGAACACAGTTGTGGTTGATAATCTGTTCAAGATTCTTTCATGTCTCGACACTGTGTTAGGAACATTCCACCACATTCATGCCATGTATGTAGTGTTTACTTGAAATGATATTTGCGTTGGAGAGAAATGGCAATTTAAATTTTTATTTTCTCGTTTGAAATAAATTTTCAAACTACATATTAACTTCTTTTACCGATTTTTAATACCTTGTTTAGTTCTTGAAATATTTTCACTTGAATAGTGAGATGTCTGCCATCTTGGATAAATTTTTGATTTGATTAAGTTAATTAACGGTAGTTTTGGTTACGTCACAACAAGGATTAACCATATAAAAGTATTCGTTGCTAGTTGTTTTATAGGTTTTTAGTAATCTTGATATTTCAATTACAATTTCAATTTATTAAAAGATACCAATTTTGCAGTTAAAAACTGAATTACACTGGTTTACATGCTTATGAACACTCCTTATTTACAAGTTGTTAATTTTGATAGTTCTAGGTCAGAATGTAGCTAAACAATTATCATTTAAAACTAGAGTTGTAGGCCTTACTACAGGCCATACAAAAACTATTAGCAAACCTACCTGTCCTATGCTTTGGTATTGAAAGCCAGTTATTATTACGTAGAGAATATCCTGTGTTATTTCTTGGGGGGACGAGAGAATGGACTTGATGGTCTTTCTCCGCAGGAACAGTGACACCACCGCAGCACGTACCAACGCATCTTCATATTTGAGATCAGGAAAGATTGTACGAAGGGCTCTGCGTTGAATACTCTCGATCTCGTCGCTCAAGTATTGCGCCAAGCTATAGTGCCATATCTCGCACGAAAATTCTAAGATTGGTTGAACGCAGGTAGTATAAACCCCGATTAACTTGCCCGCTTGTATAGAGGATCTCTTAAGTAATCGTAAGGCATGCAACCGCTTCGAAGCTTTCTTGCAGATATAATCAACGAGCTCTATCCATTTAAGATCTTTAGAGATCATGACACCAAGCAATTTAGCATGTGGGACCACGACTATATCATGACCGTCAATGGTGATCGGCGGAAGAGCCGCGGGATCAAGAGGAGAAAACCCAACACGAACTTCTTTTGTTTTTGTAGTGTTCAGTTTCATGTTAGTCTCAGAAGCCCGTTTAGTAGATTCTGTAATTTGAGACGGTTGGACCGAGCTGGATTCTTGCGACCCTTCAAGACAATCTCCCAGATAGTGGTCTCGTCAACAAATTTCACCGTATCGTCAGAAACATTCAAGTCGTTCACCATGATGAGGAAGAAGAGGGAAACCAGTTTGGTTCCTTGGGGGACTCCTCCGTTGGTAGTACTCCAACTCGAAAAATTAGAGCCAATTCTTGTTCTCTGACTTCTGTCAGTAAGGAATTTGGCAATCCAATTGGTTAGGATACGGTGTACGCGCATGTTAATGAGTTTCTGCATCAGAATGTTGAAATTGATACGGTCAAAAGCTTTAGAGTAGTCTAGCATGCATATCCTTAGGCAGGCTCCAGGTGTGTCCATCGCTACGTACCATTTATGAAGCAGGTGTATTAGCGCCATGGTGGTGTTGGATCCTTTAATTGAGCAAAATTGGAGCTTATCAATTTGGTCGCGGATTGACTGCAAGAGCCAGTTATATGGAAATGACTCCAGAATCTTACTCACTATGAACGTGAGCGATATCGGTGGAAAATCAAAGTGAACATCCAGGACAGGGGAAGACTTTGCTGCAAGGATGATATTTGCAGATTTCCACAGGGATGGAACACAACCATCATGAATAGAGGCATTAAATATGGATGCTAATGGGCGACATAATAACGAAGAATTTTCACGGAGAAACCAAGACGTGATTTCGTCAGGACCTGCAGCTGAAAAGACTTGACGGATCGTAATGCTCTCTTGGTGTCGTCGACTGAAATGTAAAAGTCGGGAGGAAAATCACCGACTTCGAAGGGCGTCCGAGCAAGCGGAGGCAGGGAATTTCCAATGGCAACAAACTTGTCATTAAACAGGTTGGCCAGAGCCGAATCGGAATAGGGCTGTCCGTTGTACACAAGTGTAGAAACGTTTTTAGATGGGGCAAGGCCTGCAATATTTTTGACAGCGGACCACCACTTCCGTGTATTCGACTGAGTGGTATTAGCGACATTGTTGGTATAATACTTTGAGCGAGCACGCCTACACAAGTTATCAATTTTGTTCCTATAGAATCGAAAGATAGGCTTGTTTCCTCTGCGCCATGTCAGTTGGCGTTTCGATATTATTTTTTTTATCTCCGGAGTAATCTAGGGCTTATCGCTGCTGTCAGATTTAATACGCTTCAGCGGGAGATATTTATCAACAATACCATCGACAAGGGAAGACAAATAATGGAACTGTTCGTCACAAGAGCCCAGATGATACATTGGAGACCCGTTAACACTGGATATGGCTTCAGTAATTAACTTCCGATTGGAGGGACGCGCATCTCTAACCATTCGGAAGGACCGTGAGTTCCTACGATGATTCAGTGGATTTAATAAAACTGAGTTATGGTCAGAGAATCCGAGTAGAGGAACAACTTCAGGAACGTCGTAAAATTTCGAAATGTTTGTGAATATTTTATCAAGAGTGTCTGATCCTCTAGTAGCATTCTTCACAATCTGTTTTAAAGAAAACGAATTACACAATTGGCGGTGTTTGAATTGGTTGAAGTCGCCGGTTAGGATGATAGCAGCTCCTAGGTTGGCTTTTAGAGCGCGGTCAAGGGACTCGGTAAGATAAGCCTACATGGCCCTATTGTCACTATTTGGCGGATGACAAATGGCTCTCAATACGATTGAATTAATGCCACGTGGTTGGCGTGTTGGTTTGATTAATACCCACAAAGCTTCAAATTCAGGGTTCGAGAGATCTTTCAAATGGACTACAGGTAGACAGTTTTTCACGTTAGCGCACACGCCCCCACCACTTCTACCATCTTCTCGATCACGCCTAAATTTAGAGAACCCACTTAAGTTTATCACTGCGCTATCAACGTTGGAAGTGAGCCACGTTTCGGTGATAACTACAATGTCTGCAAGGAGATTAGAGACGGTACCAGAAAGTTCATCAATCTTATTTACTAGTGACCTCGAGTTGGACAGGAACAGGGAAGGTACGGAACTGCGTGACTTTGGAGGTCCTATCTGTTGTAAGCACGTCACAGATTTTCTACATTCATCGTTCATAGGTATATTGATTAAGTTAGATCGGTGTTTATTATTGTTATTTACTCTCACAATACGCTTTGAGATTATGATCGGGATAGCACTTGATTCGCTAGGGTACTTGGGTATATCACTCCCCATTAAGTTAAGTTATTGCTAGGCGTGAAACGAGAGTTAGTTGAGATCGGTCGGAATGGTGTAATTTCAAATTGCTTCTCGTGGCTTGGCGAACAAAGTCGAGGTAACTCAGCCAATCCCTCGTTCGGGGACATCCGATATGCTGGTATGGTGGGTTCTTGGTTCGCTGACGCTTTGGAAAAGGAGATTGACTATAGTCAACTGGGATTTCAACCAAAGGTAAACCGGAAAGCCACTCGGGTACTAGGGATTTAGAGCGGGTCGGGAGAGGCAGATCGGACCTGATTTTATTGTTAACATTTATGCTTTGTAAGGCAACCCTCGTATTTGGCTTCTGATGAGGCTTATTTGTTGACCTAGTTGGGGTTTTGGGGGTCTTTAATTCTTGCTCATAAGAGGTCGAATTTTGCCGACATTTCCCGATTTTGCCGACTGTTAGCTGATACGAGACCGATGTTTTCTTTCTTCTTTCAAGGGTTATCCATAGTTGAATTACATTATTTCGATATTGCTTGGCTCTACAGTTCCCATTGTTGCTGTATTTGGTTATTTTGTTTGGGGTGCAGCCTTTTTTGGCAATGGGGATTCACTTAAACGCAAACAACATAACCATTCCAATGATGAAGATTGGGCATGAGACACAGAATTTCCCTTTAATTTTCCCTTTTCTTAATCGACTTTGCTTGCTACGATTATTACCATTGGGACTTTTATTTGAATGAAATGACTGAAATTTCAGGTTAGCTCGGTTCTGTTTAACGGCGTCAGATGTATATGGAGTATATGAACTTTTTGAATTCGAGCCATTGGACTCAGCGGCATGGAAAACATTAGCACAATTTTGGTTTAAGTGCTCGTTATTTCGAATTCGTATTTGGTTTGGTCTCGGAGTGTTTTTTAAATAAAAGTTCACGATCATCAGAATCTTTGATAGCGTCTATGATGCAGTTATAAGTATTAATTTGTTCAGGTTGGTTTGACAGGCTTTCTTCGACACTCAATGAACCATTGAATTTTTCTGAATTAAGTTGCATTAGCGATTGTCTTAGGGATACATTTGCCAAATTACTTGATTTAAGTTTGTTTTCGAGACAGGTAATGGTATTTTTTAAAGGGTAGACAGAATAATGTTTTGATTGCAACATGATTAGTGGTTGTCTAGATAAAAATATCGAGTGACCCATGTTGTGACGTGACAAACATACCTACAAAAATTGGAGATGGCGGACATTTCGTTCGTTTCGATCAAAATATTGGTAGAAGTAAGCAAGATATGAAATTTAAAAAACGGTAAAGGAGTAATATATATAAAGTCTTAAAAGTTCTTTCGAATGAGAAAGTAAAAAAATACATCGGCATTTCCCTTTAAATAAACGTGATATGAATTTTATTGTTATTACAAACACACAGTCGGAAATTGAGACCATTGTAATGATTATTCATTCATTTTATTGTTTGCCTGTTGATGCATAAATAACAATATTAAAATAAAACAACGTCTTTATTAGAATGAATGCCTTCTTGACTCTGATGTCTAATCTCTAGATTCGTATGTTCCACATATCCATGCATGTTATTGTATTATTTATTTCTTGATGTTGAATATCATTAAACGATAATGTATGATTATGCATATTCAATTTTTTTAATTCCTCATGCGTATCTCTACGTTTTAGTGGTCGCTGGTTCATACACATAGTAGCTCGTTTTATCGTTAAGTTATGAGTAACAAACGGTGTATAATTATAAATTTTAAATTATTAAGCATTTCTGCTTCTGTTGATGAGAAATAATGCTGTTTATCGAATCTAAGCGCTAAGGTAAAATTTTAAAAATCGAAATTTGGTACCAAAGCATGGCAGCCAATGGAGTAATTTTGACTTTAATCGCTTGGTTGGCGTGCGCAGTCTATCTCATTTATATAACCAAAATAAACACATTCTTATACAGCAGATAACCTATCAAAATGGAAGCTAGACCAACAACACTTAGTTGAATTTCATTAATTTTCCTTTGAATCAATAAATGCTAAAAAAATTATTTGCATTGTTAGAATGGGGTGACAATGAATGCAGTCATTTTGAAGATGTTGGCTTAAGGTGCAGTGGACCAGACACTTCCAAACAGTGTGTCACATCGTGTGGTAATGGCTATTTTGCATCAGAGAATGCCTGTGTGGAATGTCCTCTTGATTGCAAGACCTGTGATGGATCAGATAGTTGCTTGAAGTGTGTCGAGCTGAGATTTTCAGAAGGTAAATGGACCAGCAATCAGGAAAATCAATGCAGTGTATTTTATATGCATAAGCAGTATTGAAATACAACCTAACAGATAGAGAGGTTAGATAATTTCTGCAATATAAATGAGGTAGTGGGGGCTGGCATTTTGAGTAAGGTGCCTGCCTTCAGAAGAAAAAGAACAATGAACAAGAAGATTGGCTTTGTAGAACAGGCGGAGAAGGGAGGAATAATCCCCCAAGTTGAGACATTTATGAGACCACACTTGGTCAATTTGGGGGCGCTGAGTTCGAAAATGGTTGGTATACAAGCTTTGGGCGGGGCTTTCAGCCTGGTTTTGGTTTGAATTGATATTTGCTTCATTGGAGCGAAAAGCATTTGAGAATTTTGTCCAATTTGGTCCCCCCTTCAACTTTTTGGGCGCTGAGTTAAACATTTAATTGTATTCCTATACTAAGCAGGGGATTCCGCCTCGTTTTCGAAACTGAAGCCTCCTTTTGGTGAGAAATAACGCTCTGTGGTCATAATAAAGGTCATAATAAAGAAGACAAGAACAAATTTGACGAATAAGGGACCAGTCATTATTAAATTAATGCCGCGGGTGTGCTGGAAGATATTTTGAAACTTGTGGTAAATTTGTCATGGCCCCTCATTCTTTCAATTTTTTTTTCATGATATCATCACCCCCCCCCCCCTTTGCTAC